AACAATAACTCCACCACCCACCACTGCTTTTTGGCCTGGTTTGCTGCAATCCCTCCAGAACATCAGCCTCTACAACCCAAGACCAACAATACCTCCCACTTGAGCCTTTTGGCTTGGTTTTCTGCTGTCCCAACTTCAATCTCTCCCCAGAGGTCTACTTGATAGGCCAGTAAGGTGTGAAAGAAGGAAGGCCAAGTAAAACTGAGCACTCTCATTGTAAGTACCTCCACTATTGGACAGAAAGAGCTAGTTTTGGCATTGTGTACTATGGACCTTCCCAAGGACCCTGGAACCTCCCTGGACCCTGGATCCCTGGACCCTGGTTTCACACTCTCTGACCCCATGGAGATCCCCAGCTCCCCAGATCAGCTGGCAGCTCCCATGAACTCTGGGCTGCCCTGGCCAAGGCTCATCATCAAGCCAAAGTCAATTGTTGCCCAGAAAAAAGCAATAATCAACAATACTTCCCCACCAACCCAGCACATTCCTCCTCTCAGTGGCTCTTCAATATTCCAGAATCAGCCTGCATTCCCAGCCACCATCACTCCCACAGCTCACACAGCCAAGGAAGCCATCTCTATTGCCAGAAACATGGTCACCCAAGCATCCAAGCTTGCAGACACCCATGAGGAGCAGACCAGGCTGCTGGATCTCCTGGAGGTTTTCAGAGACTTCACAGAGAACAACAGGGTCAACAAGCATGGTGTCTCAGTTCTTGCCTCCCAGGTCTCCAATCTTGAGTCTGTCTCTAGATCCCTTGGATCCAAGGTCAAGCAACTCCAGAAGCCAACAACTGCCACTACTGCAACCACTGCTACCCCTCCTGAACCCACCCAGCCCTCTCCTCCCACCAGGTCCTATGCCACCACTGCTTCCAACAGCCAGCCAAAGACAACAGACTGGCAACTGGTAGGCAACAAGAAGACACCAGCACCCACTCCCAAGAACTCCCTCAGCACCAGACAGCTTGTACTGCTTCAAGAGCACCCAGCCCCCTTCAACTCTCTCCAGCTCAGGAATGCCTTCAATCAGGCCTTTGTCAACAAAGGAGTCAGCAGTCCTGTTGTTGCTTTAGTCACCCCTAGTGCCAAACAGAACATTGTCCTTACCACCACTCCCACTTTCACTGCCAAATACCTGCTGGAGAACCAAGACATCTGGCAGACCCTTACCCCCTTCAAGGAAGCCCTACCTATCCAGCCATGGTATAATGTAGTTGTGCACAACATTCCAACCTCCTTCTCAACCAATGAGTCCCTTGACATCCTCAAGTCTGAGATCACCACCTTCAACAGAGGTTTCCAAATTGTGGGCAATCCCTACTGGCTCACCAGCAAAGAGAGGAGACAGGTGCAGCAGACCGGCTCTGTTTGCATTGCATTTGCCACTGAGCAAGAGGCCCAGAGAGCCATCAGGAGCAGACTGTACCTGCTGGGCATCAGTGTCAGGGTGGAGAAGCTGCACTCTACTCCTGCCTCCTCACAGTGCCAGAAGTGCCAGCGCTTTGGACACACTGAAACCAAATGTTCCAACACCACAGCCTGCAAGATCTGTGCAGAGCCTCATCCCACCACCCTGCACAAGTGCAATACCTGTGGAGCCAAGGGCAAGTCATGTGTGCATACAGTGCCAGTCTGTATGAACTGCAAAGGAGCCCACACTGCAGACAACAAGGAGTGTGACACCTACAAGGCCACACAGAGACCTCACCACCACCAACCTCAGGATGCCACTGGATGAACCCAGCATGAGACAAAAGACTTGACATAGTAATGACACAACCCCGATGGGGTGTGGTAAGCTCTCTTTATTTGCTTGATTTTGCTTTGCTTTATAGCATTTAGCTTGTTGCTCTGGGCCTGAGCCCTCACCATCCCTTGTACTCTGACTGAACCCAACCTCCTGTATCTACAACTTTGCATTACCAGTGGAGCTACTGCTCCACTCGTCCTCCATAGTCTCAGACTCACATAGGACGTTAAATC